ACCTATCAAAAGGGAGCTTTTTAAATGGCCCAATTAGATAACCTTTATCGGCCTCTTGTTTAATTATAATATCAACGCTTTCTGGATTTCGGAAAGCTGATTGTAGATTTTTACATTCAACTGTTGGTAATTCTGTTTTCGACACCATGGTATCAAAACCGTTTTTAATACCGTCTAATAAATATTTTACAAAATGCCTATCCGGATGTTTTGTTAATTCTTTTTCAAGGTTGTTTACGTTGATGTGAGAAAGTTGATAATCATCATTCATTTCGAGTCACCTAGATGTTTTTACTTTCTGCTTATCAGCAGTTTTGTTTTGATTACTAGTACTGGTATCCTTGATGTTACCACAGGTCTTAAAGCCATGACCTCTACTTTTACACTTAAGACACGCATGTGTAAATTTGCATTCTTTCCACTTGCATGTTCCATAATTGAAATTGTTACAAAGATCATAACCCTCTGCTTGAATGATATTTCTCCCATGCCTATCTTTTGATCTATCTACAACACGACCGTTCGTCGTGTTTAGTGGGGCGCATGGAGGAGTTTCTTGATAAACTTGTTTTTGGCAGAACTTCGTTGTGTGGTCGTAATCGCCACAGAGTTCGCATTCTCTACTTTGTAAACCATTCATTACCAAATGCAATAGACGGTCGTCTACCTTTCCCCAGTTAATTGCGATATTATGTTCTATGATAGCATTGGCGGCCTTAGCCGAAAACAATTTGTGATATTTATAAAATCTTTGCCCGTAGTTAAAGGCTATATCATTTATATCGGCCTCGTATTGATCAAGTTCATCTCGCCGTTGAGGATATACTTTACAAATGATATTCCTTACTTTCCTGAAGGCCTTGTTGAACTCATCAAGGATCAAACTTTTCTCTAGACGAGGATCCTTAGGAGCTGATAACTCTACAGTTAGCCCTTCAGAAAAGACAGAGCGTGTTTGGGGAACCTCGTTCTTTGGATAAAGTAATAAAGAAAGGTTTTATGTCCTTACCTTCTAAAATTTGCTTGTGCAAGGAAGTAGACACGTAGTCCAATTTTGGCAAATCCTCCGCAAATACAATCCCTAGTTTTGTGTGTATAAAAACAATTTATTTAAGTGAACCTATATAAATAACCCACGATAGTATTCGACATTTAGAAAAAGAAAGTTAAAATGAATAATAACAAATGTTTTCTACAGACGAAAAATTCCAAATTGAAAATGAAAAATATAAGGCGAGTGCAGGATTGACGTAAATATGTTTACAGAAGGTGTTCAAATTATATGATTAAACTGCATGGATAAGCGACAAGGATAATATAATGGAACTTGGGCTCTTTTAGACCTTAGAAAAGAATTTGATATTAACGATCATATTTTTCAAAATAAATTATAAGTGTAGCATTGTGATGATCATGTTATTGATTGGTTAAAATCCTATTCCACAGGAAAATATCAAAAGGTAATAATTACATAACATGTATGTTTCATTATAATACGTTATTTTGATTGGCTAACAGCAATCTCGCGTCGTTCTGAAATTAATCTTCATTTCAAAATGAAATGTAATATTCATGATGATACGAACTTTCACAATAAAGTGCACAGGTAAATAAAAGAAAAACTTGATAGAATCCGTGTTTTTATGATCCTAGATAAAAATGTAATTATAAGTATTGAATGCTTCTTTTTGTAATTTTATAGGGTTGTAATAGCGTTGACCGTGCGTACATTTTAAGAATGAAGCGCTTCCGCGCTCCATACAAAGTGTACTTCGGTCAACGCTTTTGCACCCCAATAGATTTACAAAAAGAAGCATTCACTTCTTAAATAATCAATGATCTTGAATTTCACTTTAGAGAAGTTCAATCAGGAATTCAACAGGTATCCATATTATAACCTTTACTTGTTATGATATTTATTAATGATTTATCTCTTGTGTTTAATGATTTTTTTTCTGAGTTATATGCTGATAGTGCAACATAAAGGTAGTCATTTTTTGCCAGTATCAGATTAAAATACATTTGTGAAATTTAGATTGTAATGTTACGAATTGGTGTAATGATATTATATTGAAAAGAGATAAGACTAACGTCGTTCTAATAGACAAAGAGCATTTGAAAGAAAATTGAATATCAATTTGATCATGAACATATAATAGACGTCGTTCATTATATAAAAAATGTTGGTAATCCACTTTAATAAATCTCCGTCATGGGGAAATCAAATTGACAAATAAACTATTTATAGATACCAAACTTTGTGCAGTAATTGTAAGCAGACTGCATGTTATAATTCGACTCGAAGCATACCTTTTCTTTATATATCATAAAAGATATACGCCTTCAAATATGGACTACTGATGTACCTAATTGGATAATGTTTTCAAAACTAATGTTGACAAATTTAACAAATTACAAAAGCGTGCTGCAAGAATGGTATGAATATAGGTTTTTAATTTTTATCTGGGTTCTGGGTTTTTTTTCAATAAGTAAGATGGCTTTCTATTTATAATATATAAAAATATTTTATTACATCGATGACCCCCTGCTTTTAACTTTGAAAGATAGTAAAAGCGTTAATGTTTTAAAGCAAACTGTTAAGATATCGTTTAACAAACAAGGAAGAGAACTATTCGTAGTTATCTTAGAATGTAATGTTTTTCGAGTCAATGGTATTTGTCTGCTTGTATTATCTAAGTGCTCTTGCAGTGTATCGATATATTTTTTTTATTATCTTTAAATCGTTCTTTGGTTTCGTATTATTTTCATTTAAAAAGAGGGTTCGCTTATATGTAGACAGAGAAAGACACAGGGTGGATTAACTGTTATGTTACCAATATAACCTTCTGAAAATAAAGAATTTGTTATTACTACATATGAAAAAGGGGGAACTATTGTATTGAAAGTACATATTATTAATAATAATTTGGGGCTTTATTTTTCTTTTTCGGAAAAATGGAAAAAAATGTCAATATCTGTTTACTGTTCATATAAATGCTTTATAATACAAAACACTTTCAAACCAGGCATGCACTGAGGTGGGAGTTTTGTTGGTTCTTTTTTCGTGTTGAAGGCCTCGCTGTGATTTTGAGATGAATAACAGCAAGGAAAGCGCTGTTCCTTTGCTTTTTTGTGTGTTTTTTTTGGTGCATGTTTTCAATTCATCCTCTGATTTTGTGTCATGGATGAATACCCCATATTTCTTTCTTTTTCTTTTATTGCGTTAACCGTATTCGGCACAACTTTTCTGAATTATCGATTTTTAAAGCTCTTCAATGTAGTATTTCATTTCGCCTTTCAACTGTTTTGATAAGAACGCCGCTTATGAGTCACGAAAATACATAATACTCAAGTTAACATAAAACATTATTTAATACTCTATGTTGTCCCAAAAAGTAAAATAACAAATATATCGAACTCCAAGGAAAATTCAAAACGAAAGTCCTTTATCAAATGGCAAAATTAAAAGCTCAAATACATCAAACGAATGGAAAACAACTGTCACATTCCTGACTTTGTACAGGCATTTCCTTGTGTAGAAAATGGTGGATTAAACATGATTGAATGGATGGTAGTAAATTTAACACTGTCTATAACAGAAAACACATTATTTGTCGAAATTTTCAATTTTTTTTGTAGCCAGATCGGATATAGTTTTGTCTTCTGGTTACAGATTTGAATACATTTTAAAAAAAACGGTTCTTTACAGTTCCATTTGGTCTCAATGTTAAAAATGATTAAATTAAAATTTTAAGATCCAGAATTTAGTACTGTCAATTAAAGCAAAATATAAATGTAATGTGGTTTTTTTTTAATACAATTAAGACGCAAATTGTACTTTGTCCCTGATCTCGTAGGGATCGTATTAATGCACATTTATGATAACACGACTAGCCATTGGTCGTTATACAGAAAAAAATATCTCTTTAAAGTTGAGGATGTTCGCTCCTCTTGTTTTTGAATTTTTGTCAGATATTCGGAATCCTCTGCTTTTATCCATCCCAGTAAAAAAAATGCCCACTAAGTCCTACTTTTCTTTTCACAATTTTATTACATATAGTTTAAAAAGCCATATTTGAAAATGTTATAATATCCTTGTTACTTTTTCGTTGTTTTTTGAAAGAAAAAAGCTGCAAATGTTAATTGTATGAAAAATCTAGAGAGAATCATTTCCCGCGAAATTTTCAATGGCTTATATCTCAATAACAAGCACACGGACCAATCATTTTTTTTTCTTCTTTTTAAGTTCCGTTATTTATATACTATCAATTTAAAACAGTCTTTTAAATCAAAGAGCTGATTGCTCTGAGGTGGAAGAAGATACATAAAAGGTAACTTGAATTACCATAAAAGCAGCCCACACCAACCCAGCCTGCTTTGTCCCATTATCAGGCCTGGGGTAATCGTAATTTGTACATTTTTTTGATGTAATGCAAAGTAATTTGTAATGCACATTTTCTGCATTACAATTACATGTAATGTAATAATTACTTTATTTAAAAATCAATGTAATGCCTCCATTACTGTACATTTCTTTTCATTACAAATTGGTAAAATACATAAAATTGAAGAATAGAGTAAAATAAAAATAAAATATTAACAAAAACAAAAGAAAGTATTGAATAAAATTATTGTCACAGTTAATTACTGTATTAAATCAATATAGATAGTTTGCCCTTAAAAAATCTTCTTAAAATAATTATTAAACAAAACTATTTAGATGAATGGAAAAAATATGAAGATGAAATTTTCATAATTCTATACACACCTTTCATGTATTTCAATGAAAGATTGAATATGTCAATCAACATTTTTACACCAAACTGTGGTTGTTATTTCACCTAATTAATATCAAAATGTTTTTATTGCAATCAAATCTACTCAACTTATGTTTGTCCTCACAGAGCCCTTAGGCATTTAATAAGATAATCCTTTAATTGCACATTTATTATATCCCTTTGAAATCCCTTTATGATGTCTTAATGATTATGTGATCAATGTTAGAAACAAAATTATATGATAATTTATTTATTTTTCAAGTATTTGAAGTCTATGTCACTAACACTGTATATATATGTACATATACCCCGGTAATATTTTTAGTTTTTATATTGAAAAAGTAATGTGTAATGTAATGCATTACACAGGCAAAGTAATTGTAATGTAATGCATTACATGTGAGAAAAAATGTAATTGTAATTGTAATTGTAATGGAAGAATCAGAGAGTAATTGTAATGTAATGCATTACATTGCAATGTAATGGCCCCAGGCCTGCCCATTATTGCTTTCAACGTATTATTTTCTTTCAAAAATAATAATACTCATAACTCAACCAAAACTCACTATACGTAACATAAAAATCTGTAAATACTGTTGACGTCAAACGATGCACCGTCAGTTGACAGAATCACGTGTGCGCTTGACTCATTTAGCATTTCAAACCCGTTCATTTAAAGTGCTTGACCAATATATCATATTTGTTTTTCATCTAATATTTTTACACAAAAGTATGAGGGTAGGAAAGGCAATTTCCGTCATTACGAAATGGAATCCGTCAACAGACATTTGTTTGTACATTGTTATTTCTGTCAACAGACGGTGCATCGTTTGATGTGTAAAACACCAGCAGATTCACGTGTGCGCTTGACTCTTTATTATCACAATAACATACTTAGATATTCTAACTTTTGTTTTAAAAAACACATGTTGTCTAAAACTGGAATATGACTTAATTGATTGCATTAAAGATCTGAAAGCAGACGGAACAGCTAAATCCGTGTATTTGTTCAAGCATCATTGATTTGAAGTCGTACTCTCCACGTATATACTTGACTTTAACTCAAGATGGATTGCATGAATATATGACAATTCTGTTTATCATTATTTTGAAACTTTCAGATGCACAATTAAATTTCCCATTTGTGCACATGCGCAGATACGTAACCAACGTGGTTTAAATTAACCCGAATAATCCAGTTGTTTTATTCCGATAATTCCAATTATTAATCTACCAAAGACAATTATTACAACAATCAGTGAGAATTATTATCATGACCTATTAATGCTCCAAAACAAGCCATCAACTTTTCATTAATTTTTTTTCATGTGTGTTCATGAATTTCGAGAATTTATACCATATAAATATCTGAATAAGTTTATTAAACTTTAATATCCATAATATTATTATTTTTTAATAATTGCAAGGAAGTATAAAACGTCCTTGATAAAAGCAGTCAATATAATACTTCCATGATAAAAGTAAGGAGAAGTAACCCAGGGTGAACGTACTCTATGGGGACGAACTCAGGGCAAACGGACCAAGGGCGAACATGTAATCAGGGCGAACCGACCCGATACCAAATTCACGCATGCGTACTACAAACCCTACTTGAAAGACATCCGGTTACAAGTAAACAAATAACGTTCATGTAAGATGAGATGAAATCTAATAATTTACATAAATAAAATGGTTGATATTAATACATTAAAACATGAGAAATTATAACACTAACGCTAGTGATCGTTTTTCAAGCCTAACTAATAAATCAAATGATGCAGATGCTTAGATCATGTGTAAACATCGGTGTCAAGATATGGCACGGAAGTTGTTATGAAATTGTAAAGCACAGAAAGGGATACGACATACGTCCTGGTGACGGTTCAATGATTTTATAGCCGGCAGTAAAGGCTTTCAGAAGTCTTGAAGTCTTCTTCCACCAAAAACTTGTTATTTTGAAACATAGTAGCAAACATCCTTAATACATTTTGAAAAATGTAAAGCATGAAAAGCCATCAATTAAGATATTTGATCTTTCACATTTTAAAGAAACGGTGTCGCCTACACCCAATTTAACTGCCAACATGCCTGATCCAGATTCATATGAAGGTGGTCTTTCTGAAATATAAACACCACTTTGTGACCGTGAATTTTTGTACCATCTAAAATATACATCATTTGAATCAGATATCAAACTAGCAAAGAATAAATACATTCCTGCCACCTCACAGGTAAATTTCCCAGATTGCTTAAACGAATCAAGACTGTTTATCCCATGGTTTTCTTTGATTTGGCTGAACTTTGCAGTGTCCCCGTTGCTGTAAATTCCACCTCCACATGCTGTTAAAGCAACTGAAATATATATCATTATTCACATTTAATATGATATTGACTCATGTATGACATAAAGACCCATTTTAGACCATCAGTTTGAAATTTGGTAATACAATTAACTCGAAATTAGAAAAAAAAATATAAGGAATGAAGTTTTAAGAATAATTATATATCAACATAAAAGGTCATTAAAGAAAACATACAATAGTCAAAACAATGTCATGTATAAATTCAAATAATACAAAGATTCTAACAAGGAGATGTGGGATATTCTCTGTTAATACAGCAACAGAACAAAAGAAAAGACAACCTAACACATTTAGAAGTCAACAAATGTTCTTCATATATGTGTCTATACACTGTGGTATGTTGTCTATTGTCAGAACAAAAAATACAGTCATTAAAACGCGTTTGTGTAAACAGATTTGTAATCCACCGAATAACATCTTACATCACACATGAACTGCTTTTTTTTCTTAATTTCCTTTCTAGTGTTTATTATAAGAAATTAAAAGAAAACAAAGAAAGATCAGATAATCTCCAACAGTTTTTCATTACGTATTGTTAAATGTTAACTGTGAAATGATTTTCTTTAACATATTTCTTTATCTATTCTAACTTATTTGTTTGGAACAAATTCCAGTTCTTACCTGGTAAATTGTAAGGTAACTTTGAAAATTTAACATTATCAACATTTGATAAAAGTAAAATGTATCCTCTTTTATTTCGAATTATTCTTGATCGTTCCTATGTTACGCTTATAATATGAGCACATCTTCATTAACCATGCAAGCATATTCATTTTCTTTACCTTGAAAAGGGGAAAAGGTTCAGAAAGAAAACAATTGTTAAAGTATATGATTGTTCTGATTTTTACTGAAATAACAAAAAGATATATGTAAAGAGGGAAAGTACATTTCAGATGAATGCAACTCATGAGTAGTATTGAGACAAGACGCATTGCTACATTATTCATTGTATCAATTAACACAATTCGATGCACAGAATTTTCCAAAATCCTTGTTATTGTTCCCTACTAATCAAACGTTGTCCACAGAAATGGCATTTGGTCTTCAAGTTTACTAGATTTGTGTTTTGCAAGATTTGATTTTAAAATTATGCATTATAACAATTAAGATACATAAATGTATAGTTATATGTACTAAATTTAGAGGGGAATGCCAAGAATAAATTAAAATCAATGTCCAATCAAATAAATAAACACAAGAACACGTACAAATTTGCAATATTCAAAGACAAAAATCGTTATCAAACCCTTTTAAAGATACAGACATTTGGGTTGGAAGTAAGCCTGCGCTTTTAGAAAGCATATCATAAACGAGATATTTTTTACGGTAATGTTGTTTATAGAGCTCGTTCATTAAGATACAATCCACGTTAACTTATTGATCCTAACTTAACTTACTCTTAAATGTTATCATTTTACCAAATTTTACTATATAGAAAAACATGTAAGATGAAATTTACCAAAATAAATTGAAAAGGAGAAGTCCATAAAAACTGGCAAAACCATACTCTCAACTATATCAATCAACGGAAAGACTGAAGAAAAAAAAACAACTGGCATATTGCTTACTTGGTTGAAGCATTTTCCCAAGAAAAATGGTGGATGAAACCTTGTTTTATAGCGAAGAGACTAATAGTTTCTGAGTACAATAATTCTGGCGTAAGGTATGGATTAACAACAATACGGAAAGTCGCAGTCTTTGCCAATGTGTTGTGGTCATTTTTTGTATCCTTGTCTTTCATTTTTGCTTATGTGCTTTGTCTATATGCCATTTCATTTTTCTTTGTTGATATATTTGTTTGTTTTTATAGTGATTAAGATTATAACACGATGCTGACTGGTTTAATCCACCATGTTCTACATAAGGAAATGTCTGTACCAAGTCAGGAATATGACAGTTGTTTTCCATTCGTTTGATGTGATTGAGCTTTTGATTTTGCCATTTGATAAGGGACTTTCCGAATTGAATTTTCCTTGGAGTTCGGTATTTTTTTTTTTTTTATTTTTTTTTTTTTCTATTGGTCAAAATAGCCCCCGATAAAGACCTTATTACTATAAGCGTTTCAATTAATGACTTTTGGTATACTCGTCCGGATATATATGGTATTAACTTTCTTTTATGATTGTCGAATGATATGGTCAAATGGTACTTAAGTACTAATATCAGCCAATGCTCATTTGTCGACCTTAAATTTTGTCCTTTTTCTTCTTTTTTTTTTGCCATGGCGTTGTCAGTTTATCCTTTTGGTATCTTACGCCTTTTTTTGCAGCAAATTAATTTGCATTTAGATTCTTCAAAGTACCCCATTTGTTTAGATAAACAAACTGTTGTTTGATAAGTGTAGTGTAGTGTAATGTAGAGAGTCAAAATGTTATAACTGTCAATATGATCGAAAAGACAATTATTGAATTAAAGACACGTAATTTGATGATACTTAATTCCATTATTTGTATATGTTTTTTTTTTTTTACAAAATGAAAGGATTTACAGTAATGTAACTACATAGTAGGGGATCTCCAAATGTTCAGCGGAGACCTTTAATAAATCACGGCACGCCACGTTTGCGCTTTTTAAATGGACATTTGCGCTTCAATTTTTTTATATGAATTTAAGCTTCAATTTCTAGGACATTTGCGCTTTTTCTTCAGGACATTTGCGCTTTTTCGTCAGGACATTTGTGCTTTTGTACAAAAAAAAATTGCGCTTTGTCAACATAACATTTGATATAACTTATTTTGATATAGTTGACGGATTGCTGTTTAATGATACTATTCTTCGGTCGGCTGAGTTGAGTAAAATTGTTTATTATGCCACTATGAAATGATTCTGACCATTCGTTGTTCTTTTTCTGTGTGATGGCTGTTCAGCCCATAATATTGGTGGAAATCATTTGCGTACATACGTGTACAGGTGTCGGATGAAAACGAAAACAATTCAATAGGGCGGATGGAAATAAATTCTTATAACAATCATAATTCTTTCTTCAAAGTCAACATGAACAGCCGTTGGTTCAAAAATTAAAAAAAATGGGGTCGTCACTAATTGAAACAGGCTTAGACAAATAATGGTTGAATATGGAAGAGTTCCTCTGACTTTCCAGGCAAAAGAATGAATACAAGAGGAATCGCATAAATTTGCTTGGAGAAGTTATGGCAAAATTTGTATGTTCCATCCATACATGTATATATATATATAATAATTTTGTATACTAACCGTTAAACTTTTATAGATAAAAAGCGCAAATGTCAGGTCAATTTCACAAAGGTGTATCAACGTTTAAAGCGCAAATGTCCATAGTTTTTGGAGCGCAAATGTCCATAGTTTTGGAATGCGCAAAATGTCCTTTCGTGTTACAGGTGAAAACGCTCAAACGTCCTGCGCACTTAAATCCGACCATAAATCGCACTCAGTAACGCTAAAACACAAAGGAAAAATTTACTGTATAAAAGAAAGCAACGGAGTTTACAAAAAATATTACAACACATTTTTTCTTTAGAGATGAGGAGGTGGTTAAGGGTCGTATAAAAATATATTAAAATTAACACAGCATTTTTGATAAAAAAAAAATATATTTCGGTTAAATCGATTACAAAATTACACAGTAGTATTTGACATATATTTTTAAATGAAAAGATTGATCACCAACACGGTAACCGTATATATTGTGAGTTATATTTCATAAACACAGTTTGAAAGCTGATTTGATATAAAAATAAGGAGATGTAGTATGATTGCCAATGAGACAACTATCCACCAAAGTTCAAATGAAGTGGATGTAAGCAATTATAGGCAACCATACACTACAAACCAGTAAAAGTCTGAAATGGCCTATATTTGTACTCGACTGAACTGATTTTTACTCGACCAGTCTGAATTGGTCTGAAATTTACTTGATATTACTCGACTGTAGTCTGAACCATACTAAACAGTCTGAACTTGTACTCGACCTTTACTCGACCAGTACTTAACCATTTTATACGAGTCTGAACCATACTCGACATAGTCTTAACCATTCTCGACCAAGTCTGAACCATGCTCGACCTAGTCTGAACCATACTCGACCTAGTCTGAACCATACTCGACCAAGTCTTAACCAACCTAGACCTATTTTTTGTATCTATCTATATTATTTTTTCATTAATTTAGGAACTGTTATTCATATATATATATATATATAAAATGTATATCACATTTAAAATTAAAATAAAACAAGGTGATCAAATTTCTGGTTGGATTAAAAAAATATCATGTAATAAATTAAGTTCGTTAAATGAATTTTCATATACATGATATCATGTTCACATTGATTTATGCATCAAAAATACTATAACTTTCAACCATTATTCAAATATCTTAAATGTTATTCAATTTTTTTTTTATCAAAATATATATAAAATAGTATATAAAGCAACTTAATAAATGTTAGAATTGACACCTTTGTTTTGTAAAATCAAAAATTTAATATAATAATAATAATAAAACTTTCATCTTTTTATCCTTGATAACCTTTTAAAAAAGGAAATATATTCCAAAGTTGCAGTAGAAATTTATTTTAATTAAATTTAAATACGTTTTGTCAAAATTAAAGACATGGCATACAAGAAGCAGTTTAATAAGGTTTAATGGTTTAATTACCTCAGTACAGGTGTTTTACAGGTAAAAAGAAAACCATATTTTTCTTAAACTCGTGTATTACTTATCTAGTGAATTCAAAGGCCTTGTTATTTAAGTTTTACAGGATGTTGTAATTTTCAATGGATGTTATTTAAAATTTATTACTCTCTGACCAGGTGTGATCTTTTTAATCAGTGTGCGTCAAGCAGGATGTATTACTTTATAGTTTACCCCTAATCAGAAGAAAAATTTTATTCATTTCTTGAATTTTTTATCCCTTTTAAAATATATATATATCCCAAATTATGAATAGGAATAGATATATTTCTGATATAAGGTTAAACAATGTCAGTGATTTTGTTGGTTGTTGTTACCTCATTAAAAAGATAGTTATATAACTATTGTATATAACCATGAAACCTAAGTACAGAAAGTCACAGGACAGAAAGTCACAAATTTGATAGGACAAAAAGTCACAAATAATTTGTATACAATTGATTGAATATTTATGAGAAAGATCTTGAAATGTTTACTTTTTATGACACATATTCATTTTACAGTTTAGGAAATTGTTCATAAGACTTAATTTGATAAATAAAGATTTATAAAATTTTAATCATGCAAAGGATATATTTCTTGGCACCATGAAGCCATTTAAGTACCAAGACATTGTAACATTTTGTTTTCTTAACAATTATTTGATCATTATTGATATTGTTTCAAGAAAAATACAAAAATGTTTTTTTAAAAATAAGTGTTCTATTGTTCAAAGAAAAATAACCTCAAAACTGAATTGTGACTTTTTGTCCTGTGACTTTCTGTCCTACATTCGTTTTTATTTAGGAATTTAGGAAAATCAAGTTTTGTTTAAAAAAAAAAACACATGCCAAACAAAAAACACCTTATTTTTAATAAGGTTTTATTACCCTCAGTATAGGTGGTTTTCAGGTAAAACAAGTCTTTTATTTAACAAGACTCAGACTTTAAAATTAGATAATTTAACTATCTCGATTTGCCAAATCTAAGAGAATCATGTATTATTAAAGAATGTAAAAAATGTTTTTATATATATCTTTATTTAATTGTGGCTGTTGTCATGTAAGTTAAAGAGAAAGTTATTTAAACAATCAAAATTATAAAGCAGAGGTTATTTGGTAAAGTATGGTTCAGACTGGTCGAGTATTGTTCAGACCTTTGGTTGAGTATGGTTCAGACTGAAAAAATAGGTCGAGAGCTGGTCGAGTACTGGTCCAGACTGGGTTAAGACTGTTTCAGACTGGTCGAGTAATAGTTTAGACTATTTTCAATAGCAAAGATAAGGGTCAAGTACAAATCAGTACAGTCGAGTATGGTTAAGACTGGGTCGAGTAATATTAAGTAAAATTCAGACCAATTCAGACTGGTCGAGTAAAAATCAGTACAGTCGAGTACAGATATAGGCCATTTCAGACTTTTACTGGTTTGTAGTGATACGGCCTTCAACAATGAGAAAAACCCATACCGTATAGTCGGCTATAGAAGACCCCGACATGAAAAATATGAAACAATTCAATTGAGAATACTAACGGCCGAATTTATAACAAAACAATTTACGAAAAGCAAATATGACAGACATGAACCAACGAAAACGACTGAACTACAGGCTCCTGACTGGGGATAGACACACAAAGAATGTGGCGGGGTTAAAAATGTTTGTCAATTCTCAACCCTCCCCCTAACCTGAGACAGTGTTGTTACAGCACAACATTAATACAAACTATAAAAATCGGTTGAAAATGGCTTAACTCATCAGATCGATACAAAGCAGAAACACATCTAACAAAAACACAGACCGGACGTGGCAGGGTATTTATCCATCCCTCTTCCCTAACAACAAAAACGACACTAAGTACAGATCTGAGAGTACTCGCAGTTACAGAGAGCTTATTCAAAGCCAATTAAAACTAAAAAAATCATGTATCTAATTCTAAATTATCAAACAGTACACATCCAACATCCCATGGATTTAGTGTAAAGACGTCATTAACAGTCAGAGAAAACATGACCTTGTGCAATGCCAAAATAAAGGTATCGACAGATTGTAGTACCGTTAAAGTGCAAATGTGTATAACAAAACTATTTATTATGTTTTTAATTTAACCTCCTTTTAAACCATGTTATCGCCATATATAATAGTTTTTCTTTCAGAAAAGCTCCACTTTTTTAATTTTCTATTTCAGGCATTCTAAATGTATTTTACATTTGCATCGATAATACATCAGCGATGTTTTTGAGCTCATTTTGACAAATTTTGGCCAAACTGACTATTTATAACAAAATATCATTTAAAAATTCCACTTTTATTAATAATAGAAACAAAAAGAATCGAATTCAAAGTTTTTGTCTAAATCGTAGCTAATGCCCTTTAATTTCTCAGCTCAACCTATTACAAAACGGGATGTTGTAACTAAAGGCAACAATAGTTTACCGATGTCTAAATTTCATAAATTGATTATGAAGACAAATCAAGGTAACAAACAAATGTGAGGGAATCTCATGAACTCCTTAGGGAGCGATACCGGGTGTGTCGACAAGGGAGGCATCTCCTGCTATGCTTGCATCCCCCGCCATGCACCATACTCGGTTATAATCTCACAATCGGGAATAAGAGTCAAGCAGTTAAATTACAGATCAGACAACTATAGTGGCAGCGCAAACATGTCGCTAGTGAGTTGAGACACCGATACATCGTAAAACAAGTGGGGAAAACACAGGGATGACCATACTTATATACCCAAGTCAACCCTTGGAGTCACATTTTATTAAATGTTCAACAAAAAAAATGAAATAACAATAATGGAACATACCTCTTTTGCTTTGGCTTGCAATATTTAAGTCCGATCTATTTTCAACTTTGTTTTCTAGTTCTTTCAACAATGTACTAAAATTCTGCATCCTGAGATTCACATCTGTATTTAGAATACCCAATGACGAGATAGTTGAATTCTGTAGCTCACTGAATCGCTTACACAGTCTAGTTTCAATATCCGCCGTTTCCTTTCTCATTTGAGCAGCATTATTTACTAATGCTGTGAAATCCTTTTTGTGAGCAGTATTTGAATCGGATACCAGTAGTTCAATATTATCATTGGTGTGTTGAATTTCCTTTTCCAATCGTTTTGTCACATTATTTAGTGTGTCAACATTTTGAAGTTGTGCAACAGATTTTAAGTATTTCAAATCAACGACTTCATTCTGAAGTTTCTGTGTCTGTTGTTTGATAATATTAAAATCCTTTTTGAGATTTTTATAATCAATAAAGAGTTGTCCACAAGTTTCACTGATGGCATCCGTTTGATTTTTGAGTAAAGTGACTTCTTCTTTCCATTCTTGTTTAACTTGAGAGCTCATAATGTTGTTAAGTTTCGATTGAGTACGTTCGGAGTCCTTTTCCATTTCCGAAAGCCTCTCATTTAACCGAATAACGTATTTCTCTAGATTTAGGCGTGCCTGTCTTTCTAAATTAAACAGGTCTAACACGACATTATAATGAGCATCCGTTATGTAATTTCCAAGCGTTTGGTTTGATAGCCTTGCCACAATAGAAAAAGGGTAAACCGGCAACGAAATAAGAAGAAAAAGGAACAATACTGTCAAAGCCATGTCAAAGTCAATATTTTTGGAATAATGATATCTTTTTATAAATCCTTGTTTGCAATATCTCACAGTAAAGTTATACGACTTAACATTCGGAGTACCCACAAAGTTACTTGTGTCGATTTCACATTCACATTTAGACGATCATCAATAGAAAAACAAACTTTTGGCATACGCATTTAACTATTCATCAAATTACAACATATTTTGGTTATTTTGAAAACATCAAGTCATTTAAATAAAATCAAGAATATGTTGTAAGATTTCTTCTTTGATAAGATAAGCGGTTGACGTACATTAACAAGAGAAGCAAAATATATCCAACGCGTAAAAATAAACGTATCGTATCATGAATCACAGTTTACGCAAAACTCGGTAAGATCCGTTTAAATTTCAGGTTATAGAGGAGGTTTGTTCACAAATATGTTTAATCCTGTCACATTCTTATGTGCCTGTCCCAAGTCTTAGGATCCTGTAACTTAGTGGTGGTTGTTGGATGCTATCTGACATATTTGTTTTTCTTTTATTGTTTTGTCATAAATCAGCTGGCCGTTGATTTATTTGTTTGAACTGTTTGACATATTTTCATGTCGGGGCTTATAATAACTGACTATGTGGTATGGGTTTTGCTCATTGTTGAAGATCGTTCGATGACCAAACGTTCCTTAAATCCGCTTCATTTGAACTCTGTTGGATCGTTTTTCCAATAGCAGTCATACCACTTCTCCATATTTTATATATTACATGTTATAATTTAATCATACAAATACGTTTAACTGCTTGTTTTATTTTATATAAGGCACACATCTCTATGGGTAATGGCTTTTTTCTCTGTATAAACATTTTTGTTAACTTAAATCAAAAGTAAATTATTTTTCAATAACATACAGGAACAAAAAGCTGATTCATTTTTTAACTGATTTTAAATAGAAGCAATCTATAAATCTAAAACTTCCAAAAATTTTGTTTCCAAGAAATTAAGGTTTACACAATTTATCAAAGAAACAAACGCACAAACATACATTTCCACAAAAGATTGTGTGTCTGTACTTAACGAATCGTTCAACCAGAACCATTTTACGAGAAAACAGCCAAAATTATAGAATCAATTTAATGGTACTGTTGATAGTCTAATCATCATATAAAAACATTTCTATTATATGTATAAACAAATTTAAATTATATAAGGCAGGGGCCATGGAAAATGGGGACGGGGTAGCTTAAATGGATAATTTGACTTTTATGATACATTCAGAGTTCCTGAAATAACAAAAATCTAAATAATAATTACTGTATGTGTATAACAAAATAAAAAAACAAATATAATGCTTGTCTTACTGTTGCGACTCGTGATTTCAATATTTATTATTTTAACATTGATATGAAAAAAAAACAGCAAATTATTGTATAGTTTTAAATAAGAAGTGTGTACTCGTTTGATTGTGTGTGCAGGATCTATACAAGTGGCGTGTGTTTGATTGCTTGTGTGGGATTCATTAAGGGAGTGTAAAAAAGGGGTATGTGTTCCCTTTAATAATAATGTTACAACATAGTTCACATAATATAAAATATGATTCATCATAAATCACATTCATCAATAAACTTAAATGAAGCTTACAGCTTATTAAGATTGTGTACTTTTTGTTGGTCTAAACCGTGGTTGACTGTATCATTCAATGTTTTTATAATAGTTTTGTTGTCCTCATCTGCTGTGATTCTGGCTGTGTAACTTTTTCAATACATTAGATCTCCTAAATGTGAGGTCTTAAAAACATTAAAGACGTTTTCTTCGTAAATGAAGTACTGCATTTCTTAATAATTGGCACAAATGCAATGCGCTCATTCACAACAATGCATAGGAAAATTATAACTTGTAATTTCATGGCTGCAGCAGAAAAAAGTAATTTTCCAGAATTGAATGCTTGTTTTCATAAATAAATTTATAGGTTTACAAAAGCGTTGATCCTGTGCACATTTCTAGTATAAAACTCATCTGCGCTTTATACATTTGAGCTTCGGTCGACGCTTTTACACTCCAGTGAAATTCAAAATTCTTAATAACAATATCCCCTTGTGTAAGACATACATTTACCCCCCCCCCCCCCCCCCCCTCTCCCATTCTACGCATGTTATAGTTTCCATCGTGTTATTACCACCTATTTCACTACAATTTAAACTGTAGTTCCGTTTAAATTATTAATCGCATTTCATTTTAAATGACCATTGAGAAAATCCCCATACATAAATCTTCATCCTGTTAATCCAGAGACACGTTGATAGATTATAAAAAAAACATGTAAAACTTGCAGTTTTTGAGATATTTTTTATCACGCAAATAACCTTGCTGTTAAGATGCACTGAATGGATGGATCTTGCATGTATGCTAAATTATATCCAGTTTGGCATCTCACGAGTACATACAGTTCCGGGAGTTAAGTATTTGTCATGATTTTTCGTTATATATTTTATACAATAAAACACATTGTTTCAAAATATTGTCTGGTCAGATTTTAATTAACTTGATACCATGTGAAAGCTTATATATATTTGCTTATTTGTTTTCATTTTCTTGTAAGCACTTTTATTTTGTTATTTTACAGTTATTTAATAACAAGATTTGCATATTGTCCGGACATTTGCTATATTTATACACTGGTATGTTTGAAATTATATGAATTATCACATCATTTACCATAACCGAATCTTGTAATTTCTGACCTCCACATACGGTTGGGATTTAATGTGTTGTTGCGTTGCAATCTGGTTAAATTATATAACCCATATATCCTGGTCTTTATCTATATATATGTATAAATACGTGTTGATATCAATTAAATGATTTTTTTACCATGAAATTAGACGTTTAAATCACGTAAAGATATATCCTGGTTCACTGCGGTTCACTCGAGACACATATATGGAGGCCTGGATGGGGTTAACATAATAGAGAAAAGTGGGCTAGTACAACAGAAAATGTGCCAAAAAATAAAGAATAGAGAAAAAATAGGCAAACAAGAAAATTAAAGAAATCTAGAGAATATAGAAAAATGGTCGGAAAATAAAAGATGTTACATGACCCCCATCCAGCCCCCCATATATTAAACACGAGGATCATGGTTTGCCACCCGGTGCACGTGACATCCCTATCTTCGTCAAGTGTAGATGCAGGTGTACAATATTCCTCATAAGGGAAAGACTATTTAACTGAGGGCGGATTATGTATTTTTTTTATTTCTGATTTTTCTGTACAACGTGCAAATTAGCATCAAGCTATGATTATATGAAGCTGTCTATTATTTTCAACGAACGAAGTACAAACATTTAATGTTTTTAAACTTTAAATCAAATGGCAAAACTCTTATGTTTTTGTCCTTCTCCCTGATCAAAATATTTCTTCTTCAATTGGAAATCAGAATATTTCATTTTGGAAAAAAAAAAACATACCCTGCTTTAGATTTAAACGGTCGCTCTGTAAATTTGAGCAAACAATCATGTATATAATTTATATATGTTGATTTCTTTCCTTGTCATTATTATCAGGGGCGGATCCAGCCATTTTCAAAAGAGGGTGGTTCATACCCAGGATAAAAGGGGTTTCCAATAATATGTCCCCATTCAAAAGCATTTAAAAAAAAGGGGTTTCAACCACCGAAACACCCCCCCCCCCCTTTTTTTTACCCTGGATCCGCTACTGCTTATAACTGATACATTAGTAAAATTAATTATGACGTCTTGAAATGCTAATTTATTTTTTTCTTTGACGCCTCTTATAAATTTAAAATAGCCTTTCAAGACGTCATAATTATTTTGGACTTCTGATACATACGTTCGCGATCATCTCAGTACGAGAATCTATTACAAATCGACGATTTTAATTTTGAAGTTATGAATTTCACCCATGGCCACCTTAGTAGCAACATACCAACTTCACCTGCATATGGGATATATATTTCCCAATTTATTCGGTATTCAAGAGCTTGCAGCTCCTACTCAGACTTTACAAAACGTCGCCAGTGTCTGAGTAGAAAGTTGATGAACCAGGGGCATATCAAAGAACGTCTCGTCCTTTTTCTAAAAAAATTCATCGGAAGGTACCAAGACCTTGTTACATGTAATAAATATTCCGTATCAACTCCACAAATAATACACAATGGTCTTGAAGTATAGATTCTGGATACTGACGTTGTTTATCATTCTAATAACGTGTTATAGTATTCTTTGATTTGTCTTTATGAATATTACTTTTACTCTTTAGTCTATTTTTTGTGATAAGGGTGGGGGTGGGGGGTTCCAACCATGTGTCCCCATTTAAATGCATTGATTGTCAAAAAAGGTGATGTTACAACCCCCGGAACAACAATTTTCTACATGGGAAAATGCCTGTACCAAGTCAGGAATATGACAGTTGTTATCCATTGGTTTGATGTGTTTGATGTGTTTGAGCTTTTGATTTTGCCATTTGATTAGGGACTTTGCGTTTTGAATTCTCCCCAGAGTTCGGTATTTTTGTTATTTTACTTTTTTCGCGACTGACATCATATCGTGCACCTGAGGCGGATCCCCCTTCGTCTGTTGAAGCTATATTTATGGGTAATGCATCGAGTATAGACTTTCAAAATCATGGATCCTAATTTGACAAACTTATGAAAGTGACAAGAACAAGTCTTAAAAATAAGAGTCCTCTTTCATTTTCATTTTTTGATCTCAATATTTTATGGTCATAGGACCAAAAAGTGTGGGAGTAGGGCAAACACAGTCCCCCGGCCCGGTTATTCGCTAGTGCTTCAGACTATATTGAATCAATTGGTAATTCGAATTCGAAATTCGAATTAATACATGAAAAATAATGTTTAGGATATATATAAAGAACGGATGGCAAGTGTAACTATTGCACCTGACTTATAAATTGGCGCAATTGGGCTGACATCCAGGAAGGGTACCCCAAGGCTCAATCCTTGGGCCTCTATTACTTAACATTTTATAAATGACATAGTCTATTTTATTGAACATGGTACCCTGTATAATTATGCTGACGACAATACTCTGTCATTTGCTGACAACAATTTTGAAAATTTATTATGTACATTTGAAAGAGAAAGTGCTGTTTTAATTGATTGGTTTAGATTTAATTGTATGCAGGCAAATCCTGATAAAGTCCAAGCCATTGCAGTTGAAAATCATGAAAACATTTGCAAAGAAACCTGTTTTTAATATACAGGCAGGTAAAATATCATGTGATGAGATTGTCAAACTTTTAGGTATTGATATTGACTATACACTAAATTTCAATCATCACATTAAAAATATTTGTCGTAAAGCATCTCAACTACTGAATGTTTTAAAGCGAATTGGCTGCACTGTCATGGTCTTACTAAATTGAATAAATTGACCATCTTCCACACATTTATTATCTAATTTTAATGTTTGAATATTGGCATGGCATTTTTGCAACAAAAATAATACTAAGTAAGAAAAAAATCAGGAAAGGGTTTTACAATTTATATATGAAGACTATGCTAGTTCATATGATGAATTACTTATATATACGAGCAAAAGATTCTATCACTGAAAATTAGACGTATGCGTAACATGTCTATTGAATGTTTTAAAATTTTATATAAATTGTCACCACCATGTTTACACGATTAAGTTGTATTGAACGAATGTAAATATAATTTTAGATATTCTAATATTGTAGATATACCTAGGATTCGAACATCAACCTATGGTAAGAACTCTTTTAAATATATACAGCTGCTGTTTTATGGAATGATCTACCTGATGATTTTAGAAAAATTGCTAACTTCAGTTAGTTTAGAGACGTCTTTAAAAATATTTTAAAGTCACAACATAAGACATAACTGTGATAACATAAGATATGTATGATTGCTACCATGCTTTTCATGAGTGCTTCATTTTGTGTTGTGTAATTTATTGCATGTGTATTATGTGTTGTATTGTTATGTCTTGTAGGTCTGTTGAAATCCCGAGCATAAGTTATGTCCTTGTTTGTACACTTTGAAGCTTTTTTTATAAATTGGCGCGAAAATATACAGGTATCACATTACATTCATGTGACTCTAATTCTTAGCACGTGTTATTGTTTTGGGGTTAAGATATGAAACGACGTAGACAATAATTTATTTATGAATTGTATCTATTTATTTATAATTGCTGGGGAAACAAAATAGGTAAGAACTTTAGTATCAGATGTAATGGGAAAAAATAAGAATGTTAATTTAATTCCGACAACTTGAAAGGATGTTTTCGCTTTTTGTTGTTATGTTCACTAAGACTGAGACTAAGGTCAAAATGTAGGACAAGACAAACGCATTAATACTACAATGACATTTTTATAAAACAAATCAAGTATACAGTTCTCAGGTATTTGAATATTGTTTTGATTAATTTGGTTGACGAAGTTAAATATTACCAAAGCATTTTACAAATACATTAAAAGTTTTACACATGTACAACTACATGCATGTACAGTTCAGTTTTCAGAATGAAATATATTATTACAAGTATTTGCACCCAATTAATCAACTGAAGAGCTGAGCTGTAGAGAACCAACAACAACGGAACAAAAAAGAGAAGAAAAGACACTTTTGCCGCATGTTTATTTATAGCTCACCTCTCCAGGACTCAGGAGGCCAGTACAGTACCAACTCAAACTATTAATTAAACATGGATAAAGAAAATCTGATGGGTCAAAAAATGACCAGAAGGTCAAGATTTACCTACATGTACATGTACTTCCTATATTCTCCAAAATTATCAGAGGACTTCTAATTGAAAAAAGTAATTGCCTTTAAATTAAGATTTTTGGCTTATTTTCGTGTTTTTGCCTATTATGGTTAGATTGTCATGGAATAGAAGTTCCTTCATAATATAAGTTCCATTTCCACAGGATTAATATTACAGTATATGTTCCTAACGGAATAAATGGTATAGAATATTTGTTCCAACAGGAATAGATATTATGACATTGTTTATAACAAAGTTTCCAGTGGAACTTCTGTTAGGCGGAACATAAATACGTTGACAAGATCATACATGTCATATATATGTTTTTCGTTCGTCATATGAATTTGTACTATGCATGCTTTTTCAATGGAAATTGTGACGTCACAATGCAAATTCTTCATAGTACAAAAACACATGAGATGAGGATATACCAAAAACTTTATTGGATACATGCAGATAGAAGAGGGTAGGAATGCCCTTTACTGTCAGGCGTCAAATGGTCATTTTCGGCTACCGTTAGCGTCAAATTCGTTAAAATTTTACAGTGATTTGTCAAAATGTCCTTATCGTGATTCGTCAGAGGTCTCAAATAATTATTGTTAACGTTGTTTTTGGAAAAAAATTAACGTGATTTGTCAAAATCAGTCGATTTTTTATCGTCTGAAAGAAAGTATCGTCAAGCACCAAAAATTACCATTAACGTCATTTGGCAAGATTTTTAACCGTTATTCATCATGACCTTTCCCCCATTACGACCCTCATAGAAGCTGCCAGTGGCAAAATATATCAGCAATACAAGATCTGCATAAATGCCTTTATAATTTAGGAAAGGCTTAGATGAATCATTGAGAAGTTATTTAAATGATAATTTTTATTAATTTTTTTTTTTTTTGCATTTGAGTCAAATAAACTATATAGTAGACAGAAAGAAACTGTGAACTGCAAAAATTATCTGCAATGCAAAATCAATGAAAACAATAATAAAGTCATGAATGATATTCTAGTTTATAATGGAGTGGCCATTGTTCAATTTAAACCTAGATCCAGGTAAAGTAAAATAAGATAAGAAGATATGGTATCATTGCCAATGAGACAACTCCCCACCTACTATAGATCACTATAGCCTTCAACAATAAGCAAAACCCATTTTGCATAGAAGGCTTCACAAGGTAGCTCCAACGACCTGATACAATTTATGTACAAAATAATAACTGAAAAACAAATATGATATACATTTTTTTTTATGAAAACCCTTAATTTAATTACTCAAATATTGTATGTGTAAACCAATAAATGTCAAGATAGCTAAAAAAGGTATACAGGTATAGAACCCATCTTATAATATCAGTTGTATGAAATCCAACATAGTCAAATTAAACAAATTTCTTCATGCATTTATTATTGTGATTGTTTTACAATCAACAAATATGGGAGATAACTCAATATTGCAATTTCAGGAAATGTTGTATACAACAAATTTACAAGTAAAGCTATCAAAATATAAAATACAAGTTCTAATTTTTTGAAAAACCTACATCTGGTCGCAATTTGTGCAATAATTAAAATATTGCAAAATTTTCTGAATTAATAGTAGTTTTTTTCATTGTTGAAGATCAAATGTAATGTTATCTAAACTAACTGCACTAATATACATTATTGTGTAGGGCCCAGCTTAAGCCTGCTTTCCGGTGTGGAATTTTCTTGCTGCATTGAAGACCCATTGGTGTCCTTAGGCTGTTTTCTGCTCTTTGGTTGAGTTGTTGTCTCTTTGGCACATTCCCAGTTTCCATTCTCAATTCTATGGGAGTTATTAGGTACTTAATTTTATTTTCATGATGTGTCACTCATCCCAACCTTTCACTCGCCCAATTAACAAATATAAAGACTTATACATATATATTCTTGAGTTTGTGAGTGAGTATACTTATTTAGTTTATACCTCAAACTCTTTAAACTCCTTCCAAACAAATCATTATAACCATAAAGCTATCTATTTTTTTTTTTAAGTGGAAGACGAATGAATAAAAGAAAGATGACAGAATGCAGAATAATGAAGAAAATGTTAACCAAAGAGAAGAGCAAGATGTTTCAGTTCAGTATGACTTTTCTATTAAATTTTCAAACAACTCAAAAAGTCAGAACTTATTAGTTAACAAAAAAACATTACACAGTGAGGATGAAACTTCTAAATCAGAAAGGGATTCTCGTTTATTAAATGGGAATACAAAGTCAGGGAATTATGGTGCAGTAAGTTCTGGGGAATCACTGCGAAAAAGTCCCGCAAGTAATTGTTATGACGAGGAATTTATTGACCCAGTGGTAAATCAGGACAACAAATATTTTGAGCCAGTGAAAGGTCAGGACAAATTTACAGATGGCCGAAATGTGAACCCAACAGGAAAAGAAATTCAGAATGTCATTGTTGAGACATCATTAATTTCATCAAACTCTGAGGATGAAGGATTAGAAAACAAAATTCAGGGATCTTGTGATGATCAGGGGGACATTGAGTCTCCAGATTTATCAACTCCTACATTTTCATTCCGTGCCTTAGGCAGCCGACATAAACTTATCTTAATAAGTGTATCCTTGTGCAGTTTTCTGAGCTACCTGTGTTTGTCGTTGATAGCACCATTCTTTCCTAGTGAGGTAAGATAATTATTTCACCTTTGCTAAGTGTGTTTTTGTTGCATTCGTACTCTGCATCTCTATAAAAAAGATAAAAGAAGTGCTTTCCAAGGCACCCCTTGATGCAAATTATTTTATCTGTTGAAGGACAATTACTCCAAAAATAAATTTTCTTTCAATCTTTTGGATAAATATTCTACAAAAACAGTAGACATAAGATATTAAAAATACATTGTTTGTCATATAGTTCCTTTTTCTACAAGGTATTAATCTTGTAAAAATAGTTGATCAGTACTGATTATATCATATATATATATATATATATATATAAAATAAGAAAATGTGGTATGATTGCCAATGAGACAACTCTCCACAAGACACCAAATGACACAGAAATTAACAATTATATATGTCACCGTACAGCATTCAACAATGAGTAAAACCCATATCCCATAGTCAGCTATAAAAGGCCAGACATGTCAATTAACTCCTCCAAGACTAATGCTAATGTATTTAACCTTCAATATGAATTTCATAAAAATGTGGCAAGAAATGTGTTCAGTTTCCAAGGAACGTTACTCCAGTAAAAATAGTTGACCAGCTCAATACAACAATGAGGAGATGTACTTTTATGGTCATGGTGGTATGATTGCAAATAAGACAACTATCCACCAGACTGTTAAAATGAAATGGAAGTAAGCAGTTCATAAACCACTGTACGGCTTTCAACAATGGGAAAAAACCCTGTATAGATTGATATATATGATATAAAATGTCCTGACATGAAAAATGTGAAACAACTAATTCAAACAAGAAAATTAACAGCATAATTTATAACAAAAAAATTTTATGAAAAATTCATCAAACTCATCCAAGACGTTGCTGATTTATATTATTTAACCTTTGATAGAAATTTCATTATTTTAAGTCATTAATTCATAATGGAAATTAATAGATAAAATACAAATCATAACATGAATATATATGTCAATTTAAAAAAAAAACCCAGCTTTATGGCCTATAAACATGATATATATATCATGATATATAACTCAGTCCCTTAAAAGATCTTTGGATTAGAAAAGTTCTGTACAACACCCTTTTACTGGCTATATGCATGATGATTGCAATTTACTATTGCCAAATGTTTGATGCAATCATTAAGGTAATACAAATAAAAATCCTGTATAAAACAATAGTATCAGAAATGCAGATACAATTCTTCTGTACATGATATGTTAAAACAATTGTTTTTAATGGCAATCAGGAACTCCTATCCTATATATTATGTTTAAGTAGAGACCTAGCTGGAAATAGAATGTGTATTCAGAGAGAGTTTATATGCTTAACACATGGTTATTTTTTATGTAAATGTCAGATGAATATGAAGAAAGTGGCAAGTTCATAATGTATTATATAATATTCAACTGGCAGCTAGCAGCTAGTGATTAAAGGAATTTTTAAAACATTAACCATATTTAAAACTGTAGATTTGAGGAAGAAAAAAGTGATAAAAATCTTTTTGTGACCCAACTGTAAATATCTGCCTATTTAACATCAAATATTTTCTGGACAGCAGTGTTGTGATACTAAAATTTCACCCTGAATACTAAGCATGATAAGTATGATCATGATAAGAGGATGTGGTATGATTGCCAATGAGTCAACTCTCAACCAAAGACCAAATGGCATAGAAATTGATAACTATAGATCACCATACAATTTAACGTTTAACTGAAGGTCGTTATAAAAAGTTTGACGGAGAATTGATCATGTGTTGTTTTTATCATAATCACATGCATGACATGGTCTATAGATATGATTGACTATAATTATGTCTTTAGTGTTGGACAAGGTTTATCTTTGTTTGTTTTTATATCTAGTTTGGTTCATATTCATTACATACATGTACATGTATATGCAATGAATTATCTGTTGAATTTGATAAAATTTTCAATAAATATTTGAAAATAATATTTGATATATTCAAGGATCATTGGATCTAGCTGTGTGGTAAACATTGTAAACATCAATTTAATGTCAGTAACCCAACAACAAACAATTCAAGAAAGACACCTAGAGATATAATGGTGGAATCACAAATGAATAAGGTCCAGAAATTGTAACCCTATATAAATAGAATAAATTGACCAAAAACTAAAAAGAATAGAGAAAAATAGGCCAAAAATTAAAAAGAATAGAGAAAAATAGGCCAAAAATTAAAAAGAATGGAGAAAAATAGGCCAAACATTAAAAAGAATAGAGAAAAATAGGTCAAAAAATAATAAAGAATAGAGAAAAATAGGCCAAACATTAAAAAGAATAGAGAAAAATAGGCCAAAAAATACAAAGAATAGAGAAAAATAGGCCAAAAAATATAAAGAATAGAGAAAAATAGGCCAAAAAATATAAAGAATAGAGAAAAATAGGCCACACAAATAAAAAACAGAATAATGGGTTGCTGAAACCTAAAGGATATGTCGCAGGAAAAATGGGACACCAATAATACATCGACTTGGGATGAGGAATAAGTCACCATAAACCCATAAACTTGTCGTGGTAATGCGTGTGGGCCATTTCTGCATTCAATGAGTCGTCCAATTTATATATACTTTATTATATAATCTGCAAGTAAACAAATTGTAAACCAAGTTTACAATTATGTTCCAATAAATATGAACAATATATATGACTGAAATATTTGCATGCAACGGAGCTTTATTCTGACTTTAACTTACATACCAAAATGTGGCTTTCAAGCCATACTGAATTCTATATATGAAATACTAAAGTAACTTTACTTTAATTGAAACATTTTAAACATAGCTAAAAGAATAAATAAATTTACAAGTACCTGCAGCGGTGACTTTAGTCTGCCGCCTCCCCGATTGTAATAATGACCAGTGACTAACTCGAAAAGTGAAATTGTATTAATATATATATGGTTAGTATTGGCGCGCTTTGAGCTCATGCATAACTCATGCTATTTGAATATAAATATATATCATTCAAATAATAATAAAGAATCGCTTTACCTTTCTATTGTACTAATTTAAATATTCGGTACGCAAAGCAAAACATAGCGTACAAAGCTATAGTTTATTTCAAAATACGCAGCGCAAAACTATTTTCGTCAATCGTCAAGAATCAAGAATATGAAATATGAATATGATATGAATACAACACTGAAAACACAAATAATATGAAATGCTTTATAATGAACAAAATGGATAAATATATCCGGTGACATATATATAGACATGATAGAGTAATCATTATAATGGGTCGCCGAAATATAAAGAACTTGTCCAAAAGCATGTCACCTATATCAGTCAGGGGAATTACTGAAATAAGTGATTTATTAATCACTCATTTAAGTAGCAAATTAGAAATTCTGTGATTTTGTAGTTTTACCAAAATTTTAAACATACAGGTTTAGATTATATCTAATTCAAAATGTAATTATTAGTAAAATTGAAAAAAATGAACCTTTTGCTTCTTTAAAGTAGCAAGGTTTATGACTTTCATGCAATCATTCATCTGTAAATTCTATATTTGTTGAAAAAATGCTATAATAAAGCTTTAAATGATCTAATACTTTCTTAACAGATTTTTCCCAGCAGTGGGAGTATTTTTCCGGTAAAATTCAAGGTTTCATCTTACAGGTTATGTAATAAAATTTTACTGTTTGCCACCAAATTTTACTGTTCAGTGGTGTTGAAATTAGTGGGGGTAATTAAAATAATAATACTTGAGGAAGTGATTTTTTGGAGAAACTAGAGGTATGATACTTAAACAAGTGATTTTCATGTCATTATCCCAGATTCAGTACAAGGTCATCACCTGACATGACCGGTCATCCTATAAACACAGATGTTGGTTCTGATAATTTTAGCAACATAATTAGTCCCTGGATCATTAGTATTATATATTTAAAGCTACAATAAAATTAAATCACTTAGTCTAGTGATTTATTTGTACTACATAAATAGGTGAATATTAAAGAAAGACAACTCTTACTTCCAACATTTCTGGAAAAAATGTTACTTGAATTGATCAGTGATTTCTTAATCACTCATTTAGTAAGTCCCCTGACTGTGTATGACCATAAACGTTTTTTTGAGAATTTACAAGGACCTGTTATCAGTCAGGGATATAACTCTATAGGGTTATTACAGAAAAATAACATACATTTGTTATTGTGGACTAAAAAGTCAAAGAACTGTGATAACATATGTATGTTACATGTTTCATAGGGACAATATACATCATTAGTTTAGTTAAAATGTATACAAGTTCTATTGATATTACTATTGTCTTTATGTATACTCAACTATAGAAAGATATAAGAGTTCACAGTTTGCCAATTATGCATACTACACCTATGTTATTACAGAAAAAATATGCCTGTAATAACATAACTAAAGGGTGTTATCACAGCTTCTCTACATCACTCCAAAGCATTTGACCTGAGACATACATTGACATACATCATGCTTAATTACAATGTATTTTAATTTATTGTAAGAAATAATGACCAGAGCATCTAATGAGGTTCTGCCAAGCTTCCCAGTAATTCCCAAGTGTCTCATATAATAAGTTACATTCCTTTAATAACTAAGCCTTGTTATTACAGCTAAGTTGATCCCTTAAAAGCCTCATCTCATTGATTTACCATGGTTAATCAAAAATGTATTAATTTAATTAAAACATTAGTTATCAAGGCTATGTATTTAGTTTCTGCGCAAAGTCTCAAGAGTTCCCTAGAGCATGTAGAGCCCACTATAGATTAAAATATTTTTGATTTATTTTACAAATAACAAACATATGTTATTACAGATTTAGAAAATTTAAGGAATAAAGATTAGACAACTCATGAAAGTATCTGTAATAACACATGCAAGTTATTTTCTGTAATAACCCTATAGAGTTATATCCCTGACTGGTTATAATAATCTGATTACAAATTTGTTCTGTATTTCTATTGTTTTTTTCTTTATTTTAGTGTTTATAAATGATTG